AGATAGCGTGTGCGTGTGTGTAAATATATACAAATATAAGCAGAACATACAATATAATAGACTGTAATGACATATTATATTGCCGTAATTGAAAACATTTGTGTGCGCCTGTGTATACTCAAATATGCAACAATTATTGATACAAAATATGTTCAAACAGTATTTGAAACACAATTAGTGAAAAAAAATTAGATAAAATGCGCTTAGACATTGTAAATAAATAGCGCGAAAATATATTTGTGGCAACTCTGGCTGTTTGAGGACCGCGCGCAACATCTCCCGGGCGTGTACTGCATGAGCGAACATGCAGTTTGTGACGTCATCACCGAGCTTCTCGGCTCTATTGCAACAAAAGTAAGTACAGTAGAATTATTTTTTTATTTTTCCCGTGATCAGTGAACAGAACTTAACAGATTAGCAAAAAAAAAAAATTTTTTTTTTTTTCAAAATGACATGCGCCTGTGTGGATAGCAGGATATTAGACCCCGAGCATGTTAAGGGTTAACCCTTAACATGCTCGGGGTCTAATATCCTGCTATCCACACAGGGGCATGTCATTTTGAAAAAAAAAAATATTTTTTTTTTTTGCTAATCTGTTAAGTTCTGTTCACTGATCACGGGAGAAATAAAAAAAAATTCTATTGTACTTACTTTTGTTGCAATAGAGCCGAGAAGCTCGGTGATGACGTCACAATCTGCATGTTCGCTCATGCAGTACACGCCCGGAAGGTGTTGCGCGCGGTCCTCAAACAGCCAGAGTTGCCACAAATATATTTTTGCGCTATTTATTTACAATGTCTAAGCGCATTTTATCTAATTTTTTTTCACTAATTGTGTTTCAAATACTGTTTGAACATATTTTGTATCAATAATTGTTGCATATTTGAGTATACACAGGCGCACACAAATGTTTTCAATTACGGCAATATAATATGTCATTACAGTCTATTATATTGTATGTTCTGCTTATATTTGTATATATTTACACACACGCACACGCTATCTGCTTATATGTTTACATATTTACACACTCGCACACGCTATACACACTTTGAAGCACACTTAGAAGATTTCTAGACTGTGGTAGTCATTGAAGCAGTCGACAGCACATAATGGGATACCACACGTTTCACACCATGTTTGCACAAGCTTCCGTTTCTTGTCTCTACGTGTCGTTGTTTTACACACCAAGCAATCACGTTGGGCTATTGCACGCTTCACACCAGGTGGCAAATACTTAAGTTTGTGTGCTAGGAAGTACATAAAAATCTCTGAATTTTCCAATAACATCGTTCATGTAGTGCCTCACTCGCCACAGTCTATCATCAGGTGTTCGGTCCTGAACACTTCCAAAATGTAGACATCTGAGGAGTATCTGAAACCTGTCTCGTGACATATATTTCCCGAATAAAGGTGTTGGTATTGTCTTGTCCTTGCTCCAATAGTCATTTATTGCATGTTTGTGACAGTGCTTCATCAACAAACAGAGTGCCAAAAACACATACATTTCCGCCACTGTGGTATTTTTCCAACGCTGCAGTCGTGAAAATTCTGTGATTTCCCTCTCAATCAGGTAAGCAGCATGCAGGTTCGTTTGGTGTACAATGTATTCCATGAGTGGTTCATCATAGAATGCTGTAAAATATTCCATCTCAGCCATGTCCTCACCTTGATTAGGGAAAAGGTTTGTAATCCCTACATCTTTATCGTCAAAGTGAGGAATATTAGGAATAAAATCGTCACCATCACTCCACTCAAGTACACCAGGCGTCCTGCGAGATGCAGAGGAAAGACGGCGAGGAAGCGATGCATACCGGTGACCAGGAGCTGAATACCGTCTGCGAGAAGCACGGCGGCTACGTGCACGTGAGGTGGGTGCACGTGAGGTGGGTGCACGTGAACACGAGGGTCTTGGTCCCTCATGTGGTGCCATGCGGTGGCGCTTGGCCGGGCGAGATGCTGCTGACGCGACAATTTCTCGCCCAGTTACACCACTGGTACCAGCCACAGGCTCAATAAAACTTTGATCTGAGTCACTAAACCCAGAAAAGGAGTCACCTCCCTCTGACTCGTCACCCTCAAACAGAAAATATCCACAGGAACTGTGAGGTCGTGGTAGAATTGGGGTAGAAACTGGGCGAGGAGGCATCGGTGAGCATATAGGCCTCGCCATGGCATGGCGGTCATTCTCACTTTCACTGCTGCTGCTACTATCACCCGACAACTGTGTATAATCCTCATCGTTGTCTGAATCGTCAAACACACTTTCTTCACCTTCAGAGAATAATTCGTGGGCTATTTGCTCTGGGGTGAGGGACTGAGTGGTGCGTGCCCGTGAGGCGTTTGACCGTGCGCTCGCCATGGTGACTCTCGCTAAACTGAGGCCTCCCATGCCATCGGATCGTGAGCTGGATTTTTTTCAAAATGGCCGCTGTTTACTAGAGCCCCTGGGCAGCGTATGGGACCCCCAGCTACACCGCGGGCCATTCAAATCGTGCGCGGTACCCATACACTTCATATGAAGTGAAGCGCAGTTGACTGGTAAAACGATTTACACTTCATATGAAGTGATGCGCACTTTAAGGGTTAATTTGTGTTCACTGATCATGGGAAAAATAATAAAAAAATCGTAAGTGGCATATATTGCCCGCTATAGGGCGAGGAAGTCTGGCAAAAAACAGGTGCTGACTCGGCATGCATCCCAGGCAGTTTATTGCGTGCCAGCTGTCAGGCCGGAGTTGCCACAAAGAGATAATTACCTAATTATTTCAATGTCTCTGATTGATTTTTCGTAGTTTTTTGCTGTAATATTATTCAATAGTGTGTAGTGTGATATATTTATATAATAAAATGAGTGAATCATTGCTGTACTCAAAAATATGGTGTGCATATTGTTGATTCAATTATATTCATCAAACGGTGAACAAATACTTTGTCGGTTATTACACTATATACACAGGTTATATATAAGTATCTGCATGTTTTGTTCACCATAACGAACCACTAAGTTGCTATTGTGAGTCAAAGAGTAATGAGGAGTGACCGCCGTGTACCAGCCAGCCACTCATGCCCTCCCTCAACACCTCACTCACCCACACTCTCCTCCCATCATACTGTTTTTGCTTTTATTCACTATATACAGACGTTATATATAAGTATCTACATTCGTGTTCACCATAACAAACCACTAAGTTGGCATGTTGAGTGGCAGTGGCAGCCTGCCACTGGCTGCTACTTGCTCCCTCCCTCAAGTCACCTGACTCACCCACATTCAACTCCCACAATACTGTGTTTGCTTTTATTCACTATATACAGACGCTATATATAAGTATCTACATTCGTGTTCACCATAACGAACCACTAAGTTGGTATGCTGAGTGGCAGTGGCAGCCAGAGGCAGCCCGCCACTTTCTGCCACTCCCTCCCTCCCTCCCTCACCTCACCTGACTTGCCACAATTCTCCACCCACCATACTGTTTTTGCTTTTATATACAGACGTTATATATAAGTATTTACATGTTTTGTTCACCATAACTGTACATCTAAGCTTGTATGGTGAGTAAAGGCACAAAGACGTAGGACCTCACACAGTCAGCTGGCTGCCGCCCTCAAGGCCAGACGCACTAATATTTCTCCTCCAACAATACTGTTTGTGGTGTTATTACGCTATATACACACATTATATATAAATATCTACCTGTTTTATTCACCATACTTGTACAAGTAAATTGGTATGGTGCCCAAAGACCATCGTGGTCACCAGTAAACAACATGATGGAATCATGCAGACGACGCCACCGCACTCACCAAAATGGCGGCTCCCAACCTACTCCTCTTGCTGTTTATACCCTCTATACACACGTTATATATAAGTATCTACATTTGTGTTCACCATAGCGAACCACTAAGCTGGTATGGTGAGTACAGTCAATAAAAGGTGGCCACACACAGTCAGAAGACATCGCCACCACCCTCCCTCCCACAGCATTACTCCTCACTCCATGGAGCACAGCGCTAAATATCACCACAATCCTGCTATTATCAGAACCCTGGTCAGTTTTATCACAATCAGGGGTCTCCTGTAATAATATCATCGCTACATAATAGCATGAACAAGTATATTATGGCATTTTTAGGCGATGTTGTGGTCACAAGCTGAACAGCAGTGCTGTGAGCTCATGCTGCGTGCGTCAGGCTTGGTAGCTCACTCAATATTGAGGCCCCTAACACCCAGGAATTTGGCCCATGATTTTTTTTTAAAATGGCGTCTGTTTACAAGCGCCCTGATGGTGTGGTGAACCCCTTGTATCCGTAGGCCGTTTAAATCTTGCGTAGTACTCCAAAGCATCATGTGACGCGATGCGCAATTTTCTGAAAGTCGGTCAAAGCATCATATGATGCGATGCGCAATTTAAGGGTTAAAGTTATTAGGTATTTTGTTGACCAGACCACACAGTAGAAGGTGAAGGGACGACAACGTTTCGGTCCGTCCTGGACCATTCTGAAGTCGATCAACTTGAGAATGGTCCAGGACGGACCGAAACGTCGTCGTCCCTTCTCCTCCTAGTGTGTGGTCTGTTCAACATACTTTAGCCACGTTATTGTGACTCATCGCCTGCATTAGGTGTTTTATTTTGCTTAACTATTGTTTTCAGGGAGAAGGGGTTGACGAATGATAAAATGGTGTCAGGGGAGGTAGATGATGTCATTGGTAAGGATTGGTGTCAGGGGGCAAGTGGTGTCATCAGTGGCAGTTTAGGTAAGGGGGCAGGTGAAGTTATTGGTGTCAGAGAAGCCTGGTGGTGTCAATGGTGGAAGTTGTTGTCATGGGAGGCAGATAGGGTCTGTGGTGGAAGGTGGTGTCAGGGGAAGCAGGTGGTGTCAGTAGTGGAAGTTGTTGTCATTACATAAAATATCATAAAACTCCTTAAGTGTGTGTGTGTGTGCCGAATTTTAAATCTATGTGTTTTCAACTAGAAATTTTTCCCCATTTTCAACAGAGCCAATAAATGATTGTATGGAAGAAATTGATGAGAACTACTATGCTACGTGTGCTAAAAAAGAAACTGCCGCAAAACACCAGGTACATATTAACGATGCCTCTTCATACTTGGCATGCAATCCATCCATCAATACCCAGGTGAGAAGCTGTTAAGTTTAGGTAGTGTTTTTTGTTTGTCATTAATTGGACAGATTTTGTTTAGTGTACAGTATACTTTACTCTTTAGCTGGTGTACAGTATACTTTGCTCTTTAGCTGGTGTACAATATACTTTGCTCTTTAGCTGTTGCTGATATACAGTATACTTTACTCTTTAGCTGGTGTACAGTATACTTTACTGTTGTGCATGTGCTGGGAGACACGTGCGTGTCCACAATCCTCAAAAAATATTTAATATCTTAAGACATTTAATTTTAGAAGGATGAAACATAAGTGATATTTTGAGGTGTAGCACATGTGTTAGCAAAAATCAAATATTGTGATTGACATGGACCCTTGTGTTAAGTAGTCAATAAGTATACCACACACCACATAGGTACCTTGCCTTACCTTACCTCGCCTGGTTGGGCTACTTCGCGCCTGGTTGGGCTACTTCTCGCCTGGTTGGGCTACTTCTCGCCTTGTTGGCCTACTTCGCTACTTCTCGCCTTGTTGGGCTACTTCTCGCCTTGTTGGCCTACTTCGCGCCTGGTTGGGCTACTTCTCGCCTGGTTGGGCTACTTCTCGCCTTGTTGGGCTACTTCTCGCCTTGTTGGCCTACTTTCTTTCGCGTCCTGCGCATGCGCCGTGGGAGTTTGTTTTGGTTCCGGGTGGTGTGCACACGTGTTCTGCTTCCATTTCTCTCGGGGGGGCTTCGCCTCTCGCTCTTTTCTTAATCCAATCCGTGCCCCGTTGCTTTGGGGGTGTTCTGGGGTGCCGCTGTGGGGAAATCATGAGGTTTTTCCCTGCGTTCTAGGGTGGGGAGCCTCCTTCGCTGCTCCACTCCTCTCCAGCATGGGCGCATTGGCCGCCTCCGGCGGATACGGACTCGAACGCTTGCGTCATGGCCCTTCAGGGCCTATGTTCTGCAGGTGAGTTGGTGTGGTTTTGGCGTCTCCTTCGTCCTGATGCTGTTTTTGTTTTTGGAAGTAGGAATGGGTGTACATACATACTTGAGAACGTGGACCGTATCACCCGAGGTGCCTACTGCAGGGCTATTAGCCCATACTGGGCAGCTCTTGTTCTCTCCACCTGATTCCTTCCTCGGTTCACGGGTGTCTGCGGGTGGACTCTTGTCCCTTCCGAGGCGGTTCCTGCCTGTACTCCTTCTGCCCCTCTCCTATGCTTGTCTAACCTTGTTTGAGTTCGGGGCCCCGCCTCCACCTTGTTCCGCAGTGCAACGGTGGGGGGTGCCTGTTTGGTAGTAAGTTTTCCTGTGTCGGAGGTTTTGTGTTCACCTCCTTGTGCTTGCAGGTTGGGTTCTGGCTCTTTGTTTCCGCCTCTCCTCTGTCGTTTGCCTGTCGGGCGGATTCTGTGCTTCTTGGGCACTCTCATCTCTGCTCTTGGGGCTGTGTATGGGATCAGCCCATGTTGGGCTGCCTAATGTGTTCCTTTGATTGCCTGTTACACTGCACACATTTCTTCTACCGTCCATGTGGCTCAGTTGGGTGCTCGGTTTCCGCCTGTGTCCCCTTGTGTGTCACTCGTGTACGATTTATCTATCTTCTCTGTCGCTTCCTCGGGGAGTGTGGTGACGTTTTGCTGCCGTTTTGGTACTGCAGCTGCGTGTCGGGGTTGGTTGTAGCGTTATGTTCGGCCCTTCCGTGCTCCCTCTGGGACTCTCCTTTCTCCTGTCTTGCTGTGCCGGGCCTGGTTTTTCCATGTTCCTTGGATTCACTGTCTTGTCCTCGTCTCATTGTGCTGGCTGGGGATGAGCTTGGGGTCTTCGTCTCACCTCTCGCCTATCCTCCGGTTTCGGTTCAAGTTCCAGAGCCTAGTGGGCTCCCTTCCTTTGTGTTTTTCACGGCTGCCCCGTGTTTTTTCTTGACGCTGGGGCTTTGAGGGGACAGCTTGGCCCCGGAGCCTGCAGGGTGGGTTCCCGGGGCTGGGGTGGGGCTCAAGTGAGGGGCCTCAGGCCCCGTTGGTCCCCGCCGGGGTGTTTCTACCCCTCTGGGGGGGACTTGCAGTTTTGTGGTGTGGGGTTTTCCGTTCCCCCTCTCCGCACGTGCTTTGTGGGCGTCGGCCCCTCCCTGGGCTCGGTTTCCTTGTCCGTTGTGCCCGTTGTTTCCGTCCTGTCGGTGGGTGCTTTTCTACGATCTTCGCCCCTTTTTTCCGGGACGGGCCTTCTCTGTCATGTCCCCCTCTTCTTGGGATTTCTGCATGACTTTTGGTCTCGGGTGTGACGGTGTTTTAGTGCCTTTGTCCTTTGTGTTTGCTTCTTTTTGTTCTCGAAGGTTCGGGACGGTTTTGCTCCTTCCCGTTTTCTGGTGTGTCTGTTGTCATTCGGTTGAGCTTCCCTCCGGTCCTTTCTAGGGCTTGTGGGTCCTCTTCCCGGCAGCTTCTGGGTGTTGGCCTTTTTGTTCTTTTGTGACTATCTCTTCTCTTCACACTGTCTCGGCGCTACTAGTTTTCCTGGGAGCGATTTTGCTCCTCTTAATGAGTCTTTTCGCTCCTGCCCTTCTGCGGGATGTTGGTGCGGGGCGCTCCTTATGCGAGTTCCTTCCCTGTCAGCTCTACTTGTGGAGATGGACTCGCACACTTGTGGCATTTTGGTTTTGGTCCTGCGTTTTCTTTTCCCTCCTAGGGCTGTCATAGGATTGGCTTGCGGAGGATGTAGAGGCGCTTGGGGTTGTTCCTGGGTCTGGCACCTTGGTTTCTGCTGCTAGCTTTCGGTATCGATATTCCTTCTGCGCCGTTTCGCAGGTTGTATCGTGCGTTGTTACACCTCCGGCCTGCTTATGCACTGCCTGTGTCGTCCTGGTCTTTGGACAGGGTGCTCTCCTGTTTTTCTTCTCCTTGGGGTCAGGTTTGCTTTGCCTTGGTTTTCTTTTTGTGTTGGCATTCGCCTCTGGGGGTCGTGTGGCAGAGCTTCTTGCTCTTCTCAGGCGCAGTGGTTTTTGGCTCCTATGGTCGTGATCATAGGTTTCTTCGTCTGCGGCCGTTCTCCCTTTTTTCTGGCGAATGATATACCTTGGGTTGTTGTCTCGACTTCGTGTTGAGGAGTGATTCATCGACCGCCTCCCGGGTATGTCCCCTTGTTTTCTTAGGTAGTCTTTGGGGAGGTAGCTCCAGGGAGTCGTAGAGGCTCCCCCCAGAAAACCAGCGTTGAATGTAATGAAACGCCATTTTCTGGGTGAGTCCTGGAGGCTTCCCAGCACCCTCCTGCCCTCCGGTCGCCGGGTTTTTTTCGCGGTTTTAATATCCAGCCTCAGAACTGGGGCGGGGATCTGGGGCTTCCCCTTCCCCCTCCCGGGGAGGGGGGAGTTGCGCAGACATGCGGCGCGGCTCGTGTGACGTCATGCTTGTTAGTTCGTTTTCCTGGGGAAGTTCTGTCCACTCGTTTGTCGATTTTTGTTGTTAACCAGAATAGGGGTTTGTTTTGTGGCGCTTACCTTTCTGGGTGCCTGTCCCGGTCGATGGCAGATATAGAATGCTCAAAATCACATGTGCATTTCTATGGGCCATTGCTCCCGGTGCCTCTGAGGGGGCCAGGTTCTGGCTCGTGGTCCCCGGTAGGCCTTGAACTCCACCCACATCGACTGATGCAAAATAGCTAGGGTATCCATATCAGCCATGGATAGCTCCGGGGAGCCTCCGGGACTCACCCAGAAAATGGCGTTTCATTACATTCAATGCTGGTTTTTTGCGCGCAGTTCCAAATACATTTGATTTGTTTTTATGTGCTAATCCTATGTATAATGAACATGTACACTATATTATGGCAGTAAAACATCCGTACTGTCTGAAGACACTGTGTTACGTGCATGACACTTGTGTACACATATGCTGCACATATTTACTATGTATCATGCTAATTTATGTATATATACAATCTATTTACAGACTATACACTGTCACAACTATATACATTTACCATTAACACATTCAGAACACCGCGTGTGAGAGCAGCCACACCCAGCCAGTCTCTCTCACTCCAACATCTTACTCGCCAACATTGCTCCTCCCACCATACTGTTATTGTTCTTATTACACTATTTACACATGTTATATATACCTGTATACATGTTTTATTTACCAGAACTATGCAAGTAAGCCGGTATTGTGTCCAAACAGTACAGTGGCCACCATACACTGCATGAAAAATTACACAGCAGACAGCAGATGACGTTACGATTACGACGTCGCCTCCCTCACCAAAATAGCTCCTCAACATTCTCCTGTTGCTATATACACACACTGTATATACCCATGTACATATGTGTTGCCCATAGCGAACCACTAAGCTAGTATGGTGAGCAAAACAAGAGTGGCTGCCACACACACACAATGAGGCTACCTCAATTCTCTCCCTCCCTCCCTGATATCACTGATATTTGAACATTGTACCCAGTCATTATCACACTCAGGCTCTTCTATAATACTTTCATGGCTAAATAATACAAGTTAGATATATATATTTTGACATTATTAGGTGATGCTGTGGTCACACGCTGAACAGCAGTGCTGTGCGCTCATGCTGCGAGTACCAGCCTTGGTTGCTCACTCACTACTGAGGCTCCCACACTTGGGAATGTGGACCACGATTTTTTTTAATGATGGTGTCTGTTTACAAAAGCCCTGAGGAAGCTGATGTGAACCCCATGTAGCCGCGGGAGTTTTGAATGGAACATGAAAAATACAAATACCCGGAGGCACGTTGTGCAAACCAGATGTGAGCCTGCAGGCGTGTTGCGCAGTTTAAGGGTTAATGAAAATAAGTTCCAGCTCCTGCACTATAAAAAAAATTAAAATTTTAAAATGGAAACCATATATAAAACGGAATCAAATCACACTATAGAACTAAAAAGTAATGTAAAGAATCTAGGAATAATCGTGTCAGAAGACCTTACCTTTACAGATCACCACAAAGTAGCTGTCACAACTGCAAGAAAAATGACAGGTTGGATAACAAGGACCTTCCAAACAAGAGATGCCATACCA